TGAAATTTCTTACAACACGAAATCACCATAACGGTAAGTTAATTTATAATACCGTTAAGGTGATTTCATGTTGTCAGAAATTTCGTCGTTATTTATTGATCAAACTCTAGACTCCTATGTTGGGACCTCCTATAGACCTCACTCAAATTATATGCATACCCGAAATTCCATTGTCAGAACGAGGCTAACTGAGCAAGCTGTAATAGAAGCTGCTGAAGTTATGGACACCTCTAGTAATACTAGCTGAAAATCAGCACAGCATTGTTGTGTGCCCCATTGTACCTCAGATTCACGATTTGATCCAACACTTCATTTTCATTCGATTCTTAAGAATCCAACATTGAAAAAGCAATGGATAACTAAGATAAGAAGAGATGAAGGCCCACTCTTCCAAGTGAGTATTCTAAATTATATATTTTTTTACTCGAATTTAAATAAAGTTTTGCACTTTAATATTTGTTTTCGAAATATAAATTAATGTTTTATATTTTATTTTATTTACTAGTTTTCAGTATATAAAAGTTCTTCATTTCAAGGTCTTGATCTCTTCCACCGTATACATTTTTAATACTCAGTAGTATCATTTTAGTAACAGTCTGAAATATTTCATCTTCATATTGTGTATTAGTCTTTGTAATGTAACATATTTTTTTTTCTTTATTTGCATTGACTAGGTTACAAAGTCAACAGTCGTGTGTTCAAAACATTTTACAAAAGATGATTACAAGTCATGGACACCAGTACGAAAAAGACTCCGCCCTGAAACAAAGCAATCAATCTTTGACTGGAGTAGTGAAAAAATACCTAGGAAACCCTTAAAAGGAAAAGTACTTGCTTCTGAAAAACTACTTAAAGTTTCAATAAGGTACTTAAGATCATATTTTGTAAAATGACGGGAAATATCAACAAGAAAATATTTTTTCATATGCTGTTAAACTTTGGATTTATTACAACAACAGTAATTAATACAATAATACACAAGATTTGATTGCATCATTTTAATGAAATAGTTCTTTAAAAACCACATTGTAGCTAGGCATTTTAAGAGAAACATTATTACATCATAAGTAATTGTAGATATGGCAGATTCCTGAAAAATGGATGAAATATGTTAATGTTTGTCTAACATTACAAATATATAAACTTGTTGTATTGTACAAGGATGCTTCTTTTCATTTAACAGAATGGATAATGATACAACTGTGACAGATCTGTTTGCTGATACAGCAAGGCCAAATCCAGTAATGACAAACAAGGACAGTCCTTATATCAGCAAAGGATAGAAGAATTTGAGGAGAAATTTATCCATAAATCGTAAGAATGCGAAAGACTGAAAAACCATTTGCAGATAGAATATTTTGGCTTAAATATGTTTTCAAGTGACAACTCTCATATTATTCTACAGGTTTGTCTGCCTATGATACATTTGCTGCTTTCTTCACTTGTATTCAGCCATCAGCTCAAACCATGCAGAGTGCCTACTACAAAAGTAGTGAAACTCTTAGTCTGGCAGGTAGAAAACATAATAAGCTCCTTATAGATGAATTGTTCATGTTTCTTTGTCATTTAAAAGCTGGTCTTCTTGAGCAGGATCTCAGTGTTAGATTCAATTGTTCTTTGGCAATCTCATGGAGCAATAACTTTAATATCTTCACTTTATACTGGTTGCATGTCTGATGTGGAAATTGCAAAATTGCCTGGTTTACTTGATCTTCTAGAGCTAGGGGATGATGTCATGGCAGACAAAGGTTTCACACTTAGTAAAAGTTTAGCTGAAAAGGGTATTACACTGAATATTCCTTATTTTTTAAGCAGTAAAAGGCAGTTCAATATCAGCAAAATTGTAAAAACTGCAAATTGTGAAACTTAGGATTCACATTGAATGTATGAACAGAAGCATAAAAGAATATTATTTTTTTGTATTCAACTATTCCCCTTTCTCTAACTGGTTCAATAAATCAACTTTAGTCTTTTGCCTGTTTGCTTGAAAAGTTTAGAGGTCCCATTGTGCAATTATGGTCAAATGTTGGATCTTAAAGAGCCTTGTTACAGATATTAATTGAAATAAAAGTCATCTAGTTTGTCTTTTACTTGCTGCCCGACAGCTTGGTTGAAATATATGGTTTCTAAATTTTGATCACTTTGACACTAGATGAAACGAGCACACCACTGTATTTCGGTAACTCCAAGCTGTGTCAGAACTTGACAATAGTACTTATGATTTTTTTTCAGTTTCAGTACTCTTTTTTTGTTCTTTAGCCAAATATTTGACCTCTAGGACACTCCCTACTTGAAGACACTTAATTTCTAACAAATCAAGTGGTGCTATATTTTGGGGATTGTATAATTCTCTGTCTGGACTTAAGATAACCAAGGACACCAGAAATTTACAATCACTCCACAAGGATAGAGGTTGATTTGGTTTCCTTTGTGTATTGCATAGGCCTTTCCTGCTTCAGATTCTCTTGCCAATCCTTGGGGCATAGCTGCAGTTGTAATATTTCTTACTGATTTAACCTTCTCACCAAGATCCTTACGGCATCTGGCATCTGTAAATCTCTTTTATGTTTGATGCAGTAGTTCTATTTCTTTTGATCCTGTCCCATAATGAACTCTGGTTTTGGAGCCTTGTTTGCTCCTCAAACTTCTTTATTTCACCTGTGGTCATTTTTAAACCTTCTTATTTTATACATTGGGGATTTGTTAATGCTATCTGAAGATGATTTATCATGTAATTAGAGCATACTGGTCTGGAAATAATGTATCGTAATACATATTTATAATACAGTGACTCTCTAGCTTTTGTTGGTAGCTGTCAGGACAGAGCCATGAGGTACCAGACCAAATTTTGTTTGAGCCATTGTGGCTGTAAGTAATTGAAATGCAGGTAAGATTAACATGGAACTGTCATCCTTTTGTAAGCTGGACATACTGTGTTTCCAGTCCACATTATCCTCTTGAAAAGGGTTGTAGTATAGATTTTATCCCATGTCGTGGTATATCACATCTGACTAAGTCCATTGTATTATTATATCCTCCAATTTCAATATTTTGCACAGCTTTTCTTTGACGTTTTCACCTCTTGGAACATGACAGGTTTGAGACTGAGATGTTTTTGCTAATCTTCTGGAAGTTCCCTTTATCCCAGCATTTTGTATTTGGCAAGCTGATAAGAGTAAACCAGCAATATATCCACAAGTTCCTGCTAGTCCTATTGGGCAAGTGCAGAATGTAGATGTTGATGTAGCCTCAAACATTTCTTTAAATGTGACCTGCAATGATTAAAATGAATTTTATGAAATGTCCAATTTGAGGTTTATTCTTCTGTTAAATATAAGCTTATAAATTGTATGCTTCAAGCAACATGCATCATCAGAGAGCCTTCATGCTTAAAAATTAAATTAATTACTTTAATTTGATGTGGTGTTTCATATTTCCTCTCAGACCTACAACACCTGCCCATCACCTCAAATCTGTTATCAACAGGTCTTACTGAAATAATAATAATAATAATAATAATAATAATAATAATAATAATAATAATAGCTACTCTACACTTATTTTGCCTAAAATTCTTTAATTTGAACTATTTTACAGTTTGTTATGGTAAATTGGGTATAACAAAACTGAAGTTCAACATGTTTAAGCCATTAATGCCATACATATTCTAGCCTTAATTTTGCTTGTAGATCTGAAACTTATCAAGTTGCTTGGAACATATTCTGATAATTAGCTTTAAGGAATATGATACCTTATAGAGAGATATAATCTTGTACTGATTGGTCATGTTATAAACTGATGTAGGAAATCTCTCATCACATCACCTTGTATTTAAGGGAGGAGTGCTAATAGCTTTAACAATGAGTGTAAAGCAAATGTGTCAGTGAAATAATTATTTCCAATAAAGTGTGGATGATAAGGAAAACAACACTTACCTCTTAGATCTTGGATGTATCCTTCAATGAAATACTTGAATCCCTTGTTCATGGATATTTCACCAGATGACTTCTAATTTAACATGACATAAGCTTCAACATATGAAAAGGTAAGTGCGGCACAAAATCTAAATCCTTGTCACTGTATGCAGTAGCCATTTTATCACTATAGACGCAGTAGTTGCTAAGGCAGCTAAGCTCGGTTAGCCTCGTTTTGCGTCAGGCATTAATATTCATGAGATAATATTAAGAGGGAACTATTTATTCACCATCACATGCTAAAAAAAAAACTACTGAGGGTGCAAAGGACAGTTTTCTTCCTATTCCGAGTTGCTCTGACCCTTTTCACCCCCTTTTTGATATTTGGACATTTATGTTGTCAGAATCCACTGCCTATCAAAAAGTTGGAATTTGACAAAAATGGGGTGGCAATGGTCAGAGGAATCTCAGACTATTTTCTTGCATGCCGAATATAAAAATTCATAAATAATGAGATTAATGAGTGAGGTCATAAAGTTTCATATTTTTGGATAGGTATAATAAAGCAAAACATAATGTCATTCACTTGACATGACAAGTAAATGGAAATTAATAAAATAAAATGTTAATGCACCCCATCCCAAATAATACATGCATTTCTTATGTCGGAATGTGATGTTCACAGTGCAAACACAAGCCTTTTCCCTATGTGATAATTTTGAACAACTAGTGTACTGAATAGAATGATGCAGTTCAAAATAGTTGTCATCCTGGCAGTGTTTGAGATATTCTACTTGCCTTGAACCAACGTGTCTACTGCTATAAGTGGCTAGCTCTGCTATCTAATTGACTGGTTTTGTGGTAGTGATTTGGATTTTTAACATATCTTTAACAATTTTTTTAGTCTGCATTGTGGCAGTTTATAGTAATATACAGCACTGGGGGGTATCATGCCGCAGACATGTAGCACGATGTCCCACCCAGTCACATTATCCTGACACCAGGCCGACCAGTCCTAACACTGATCTTTTCATGCTGAGCTCCAAGCAAGGCAGCTGTTAGTACCATTTTTGTAAGTCTTTGGTATGATTCGGCAGGGGGATCGATCCCACAACCACCTGCATCTCAAGAGGATGCTTTAACCACTAGGCCACCAGACCGGTCCTAACTGACTATTAGTATTTCACTGGTTACATACTGTGCAGTGACTACATGAGGTGTACATGTCTTAGATCAGTTTTAAGTACAACACAAACCAGAATGACTAAATTCACAAATATATCTATCTTTAATTATTACACAATTGTGTAAATCAGCTCATAAAGTCACACCATAGCCGTAAGTTGAGAAATTTCCAGGGGTTAATTTATAAAACCATACCACCTCGGCTGTATTCCAAGAGCATTCAGAACCTCCTTGTCCTTTTCAATTGCATATTAAAAAATGCTGATGTAGCTTATGACAATTTTGAACTGCCCTCCTCCTGATGCCTATAATGTCAGAATGACTTCACTGACATCACAATGACAAGATGACATCTCGTAACTAATCGCAACATAAGCAATACTTTCAAGCAACTGAAACCAAATGATTTATTCACTTTATTTCATGACAAAGTTGCAGGAATAAAATTCAAATTAAAAGTGCATGTATTTCATTTATTGTTGAGTTTTCAGTAAGTATTATTTTAAGCTATTTTATAATAATCTGTACTTCACATATCTGTGTGCAGCTAGATATTTATATGCCTAAACCTTTCCAATTTATTAAATAATGTATCGCTATAATTATGTTTGAATCACTTTACAAAATTCAGAGTTATTCAGATCATTCACAATTTCCCTTAGTCCTATGGTCAACCTGATTCAAGAAAGAGCTGAGGTGATTTCAGTTTATTTTTTGCAAAGAAATTTCCAGCAAACAAAAGGTATGTTTTTTTCTGTAAATTACTGTTTTGACATGCACCTGAGGCATACTTTTGTGTCCCAGTAATAGACATGGTGGTCTGAATGGTCAGATCTGACACCTAAGATTCCATTCCACAGTTGTTAAGTACTTCTGACAGTGGGAGAACTTTAAAGTGAAGTTTGTCTGCATTTGCAACAAGCACATTAGAGAGAATGTTGGCACACTTCTATGCTACTTTCAATTACCTGAACTAAAATTTCTTTGTATTTTGTATTGAGGAAACAGACTGATGATTGAAATGTTCAAGAAATCAACTTGAACTTGTTCAAAGTATGCAAATTTTAGCCTTTTTTTAAAAAATATTGAAAATGAATTTTTTCAGAAAAGACAATACTAATGTCTGAAATAGCAATAAATGAATTATAAAAAACAAAAAGAAGTTATTGTCTATCTTATTCCAAATTATCTCTGAACTTGATGTCCAGGAAGTGAACAAGACCATGCAGAGCTAGCAGTCATTTGAAAGGTGCACATCTGAAATTAGGCCTAGCAAATGTACTTTGTAACCAAAATTACACCAATCCAGCAAAGTTGTGAACTCTTTTACCCAATGGAATGATAACACCATTACCACAAAACTAATTTGGTTGTAAAAGGCGACCAGCATTGGCATATCTTCTAACTGGTAAGATGGATATGCAAGAAAAAAAATCTATTTAAATATTATTTTCAAGAAATCCCAAAAAATAAAGCCAGTTGTACCCCATTTTACTCTGTTACAAACTGTGTTGTGTTTCCATGTATATTCTGATAAATTTTCATGCATTAATATGTTTTGTTAAGAGGTTTACTTGTTACAGTCTTATTGCAGTTCATAAAAAGTATGATAAAATAACTCAAAAGTGGCTTAATTGCATTTCATCATGCCTAATTTAGATGGCTCCTTGTTGTACCCATATCCAATATATCATAACATTTATATGAGGAAACACCTGGACAAAGATTATTTTCAAAATATTTTAATAATTGTTTGCAAATCAACTGAAAAAAGCCTCAAACAGCTTTTCCACCTCAACATGAATTCTGAATTTTGTAAATTTGTGTTTAAAAACCTACTTTGTTTCAAAATCCATGTCCATCGCAAGTTTGACATTAACCATATCAGATACTGTATACCTGACTTTATAAAGCAGAGATTGTGATGCTGATCTTTAAGCTTTCTACATTCTTGTGAGTGCAATCAATAACATGCAAGATACATCTAAAAATATCCTTACCTTTGAAAACCTGTTGCTGAACAATTAGACAATTTTCATTTTAAATTTAAAAAAAAAAACATGCATGAAATACCAAGGGTTCTAGGCAATCCTTGGTGGTGTGTAAAGTTAATTGTGTAAAAGCAGGTTGGAGAGGGTGCATATCCTACTTCATAGTAGACATATGGTTTTGTTATTAGAATATTAAAATACATCTGTCCATAATTACATTTGCAGCCATTGCTTGATGGATAGGTACCTAGCAGCAAGTGACAGGGCTGCCAATTATCTGGCCAGTCAAATACAAGAAGACGGAACCTTGGCCAACTCTGAAGCTAACCAAGATGTGGCAGCCATGTACAAACTGACAACTCTTCTTCTCATAAGTGGCAAAATCACAGAAGCTCAAAGGCTCTTAAACAGGATCAAAAAAGACTTTCTGCAGGTACTGAACACTTTAACAGCATGGGTAACAGTAGGCTTGACAATTTTATAACCTACAAAGAGATTGAGTTTCCATTTTTGAAACATGTAACTTACAAATGTACATTAATAATTTGAAAATTGTATCTTCACATACCAGAATGTTAGCTTACTCCTCAAACACAGGAATATCTTTGCATTGCATATGATCATAAGATTTATTATCAAATAGGAGAGTCTGTTTACATGACATTAAATTTCTCTGTTCATAAACACTCTGCCATCATATCCAGAACATGTGATCAGATTTATTCAGTTTCTCTTATCAGCAAATTTGCATAGACTAAAGACAGAAAATTATCAAGGCACTATCTGTTAGTGGTGATATGGTATCAAGCTGGTTGGCTTTGCTGGTGAATTCTAGAGCTGTGACAGCTGATTACCACTAATGTCACCAGAACAATGCAGAGGTTTTTTTTATACATATTATACTGCTCTGTCTGTATTGCCACTGATGTCACAGTCACAACACAGGTCTTGATGTGACACATTCTAACAGTGCATTGCCACTGATGTCACAGTCACAGTGAAGGTCTTGGTGTGCCACATTATAACAGTGTATTGCCACTGATCATCATCACAATACAGAGTTCTTGATGTGATGCATTCAAGTGTATTGACTATAATATCACATTTACAATACAGTGGACCACCTCTTATATGGCCACCCTTTCTGCAACCGGAAAGTGGCCATATAAGATGGGTGACCTTTGAGGGGGGCTAAATGTTTTGTGGGAAGTATATGTAATGTTCATAGTAAGAAAGCTATGTACTTTAAAGCTTTTAAATTCCTTATTTAATATCTTCATTTAAAAAAAACATTAATTATAAAAAGTTTTTTCTTAAGAATATACTTTATACCTTTTTAAACTGAACACAGTTCTTATTCTTGGTGTAAACATGAAAAGCAAGTGGGGTATTGTTGTCATGCACATTATAAAACCATTCAAATATGCCATTTTAATTTTGATGCACACATAATTCTCTTTCCATTTGCTCCATTTTTCCACTGCTGCTGAAAATTCTTATTGGTTATGACGTTTTTTAGAGTACTTTCAACATAAGAATGGTTCAGCAAGTTCCCCTCATGTTGTCGAGTCAAATAACTTTGGCTTTCTTCTAAAGTGATCAGTCTCCATGTAGGTAATGATGTGTTAAACTTTTTAGAGTGGACGAAATGCCTTCTTGATAAAGGAATTGACACATGCATTGTGACATGATTTTTCAGTCTTTGTCTGATACCCTGTTTTGTTCAAGGTTAATTTTTCTGTGCATTAATCCACAAAATGTGTGTTTAGCCAATACTGACCATTTTATGATCTTGACAGTTATGTCCAGTTGTAATCATCAAGGAGAAGAACTCAGTTGTATGAAATCCAAAACTCTATCACAATATTTTTGAGCCATTTCCTGTAAATGTTGACTTTTATTGATAATGATAAAAGATTAATCTTGGTGTTACATGTACTATAACCAATACTTCTTTCAGTAATGGAAACCTGATATTGGGAGACAGATATCAGTTAAAATAATCAGATTATTTGCTATACCATATGAATTAATAATTGGTTTTGAACACATTTACAGTAAAATGTGACTGCTTATGAGAGGAACTTTTATATTTTTGTACTAATATGCTGGCTGCTGGTTTCTTTAGAGGGGTGGCCATTTTTTAGGGGTACTTTTGAACACAAAATCTTCAGTGCCAAGGGATTCTGGCCATAAAAAGCAGGTGACTGCTGGTCCGGGAGGGGGGCATTGAAGAGGGGAGGGCCACTATACAGAGATTTTCTTGTGATAATCTATTGCAGTGACAGCATATTGCTACTGATCTAACATTTGCAGTAGAGGTCTTGATGTGATACATATTACAGTGCTTTGTCACTCATGTCACATAGTACAGAAATCTTGATGTGTGTGTGATACATATTATAGTGCTGTGACAATATATTGTCACTGATGTCACATAGTACAGAAATCTTGATGTATGATACATAGTTTAGAGCTGTGACAGTATATTGTCACTGATGTCACATACATAGTACAAACTCTTGATGTGTGATACATATTATAGTGCAGTGACAGTATATTGTCATTGATGTCACATACATAGTACAGAAATCTTGATGTGTGATACATATTATAGTGCTGTGACAGTATATTGTCATTGATGTCACATACATAGTACAGAAATCTTGATGTAATACATACAAGGTGCTGAATAAAAATGTTTTTGTTTTTTTCAGTGCCATTCAAAGTATATTTGCAAATCATATCTTGCCTAACTTGAATAAATGCTGATCATCTGTCTACCATGAAACCATTGTATAACCAACATAACGCAAATTAAACCATGTCCAAAATGAAGGGTGTTCCGGTAAATAAACACCTACTTCAATGCCTACACTTGGGTTGGTATGCTAATTATCTACTCAAAGTCATATGGTATATGTATTTTACAGGCCAATGGAGATGTTGTGTCATTTCCAGATAAATCCGGGAGGGACCGTAAG